CCCTTGGCAGGTACAGTCTCTCCTAACATGCAGGTTGGATGTGAATTCGGTACTTAATTAGTAACTGTATGATATCATGGTCAACTAATTGCTCGGAAGTTTCCTGGTTACAGAGGAAAAAAACAAACCAAATCTGAGAGCGGGACAAGTACAGCCAAAATGCCGGTATGCGATCCAGCGCCTGAATCAATAAAGCGAAAACGAAAACTAACCCCCTTATGTTATATTATATATATGAACAAACCTGAGTAACTTTTTAGTTTCCATACTAAATTGGCTTTTGACTTTCAAACCTTCCTAAATTAAAACAAATTTCTGCATTATCTGTGTTTACAACATTTAGAAGACAATCAGTTTTATCACATAATGCATACTATTACACCAAGGACAGTTAATATGCTTTGTTGTACTACAGGCACTGAACGTGAGTGAGTTTATAATTCATAATAAATAACACTGCTAAATCAATCAAACAATTATGACAAGGGGACACACTTGTTACGCACGCACAGACATGTGGGATTTCTTAAAATGCCGCTTCCTATACACAACTAATCATCTTATCATCTCCCGCCATTATAAACTAAAAATACAAACAAAACACTAATTAGTAACTGAAGAATGTATTCATGACAAATCCAATTGTTCATACTGAAAGAATTCTCTCAAGTATTCATATCGACTCAATATTGATAGAAATCACGCACACTTTGCATTTTAAACTGACCCTTACGTAAGTCTCATGAATACTCAAAAACTATTATAACAAGCGAGATCTATTAATTAGTAAATAAATATCATGAACACATTCCCTAAATCACTTTTACAATACAAATAAAACACCAAACATTCTCATTTTAGTGGTGACATTTTGATGCGAAATTTATAACTACAAGGGGCAAATGCGAGAAGAGTAAATTAAGCTCAACAAAATGCACCCGATGATAATGCTTGATACAACACAAGCATAGAACGGTACGTTCCAATGATCTGTCACGATTCTTACATTTAGGATATACTAAATTCTCACTTACATCTCATTATTCCATGTCTCATTAATTCCAATAATTCATGAATTCTTGCAGACTACTATCACAACTTATAAGAATTGTACCCATTGTTAGATAATTATTTTAAAAAAATTCTCTAAATCACTTCTACAATACAAAAAAATACACACTACATGGCCATCAGATTGATGACATTTTGATTTAAAACTTATAACCACAAAGCAAGAAAAATGAGAGAGAAAATAAACACAAGCTGCTAACATGTTTTTAACCTTTACATGAACGTCTTACATGAAATAGACAATGTAGAATAGCTAGCGAACTATGAAAAACAAAAATGACTTTTTCCACCACATTCCAGTCAAAGAAATTACTTTTCTTAAAAACATGTTTACTCCACAAATTACACACCACTCAAATGTTGACCAGTTTATAACTGCTCCCATGTTTGCTAACACTTTTATCTACGAGTCAAATTTTAAGAATAAATTGATATAAAACAATAATTTACAAACAGTCAATTTCAAGAACAAATATACAAAAATCAAGAACGTAAGTGATATTAGGTCTTGAATAGCTCGTGGGTAGAATCTTCTTCTTCAGAACCATTTGCTGGAAATAAAGGCTTTAAATTTCCGCTAATAGTTTCTTCGAATGCACTTCAAATACCGCAATCTGTTTCTAGATTTAATGCTGGTGGACATGAGACACACCTTTCACTACATTCTTCCACATGAATTGAAGATTCCTCCAAAGATAACGTTCTAACACCAATGTCACATACAGCATCTTCATTTTCTTCTGATTCTGAGTAGCTTGATGCAGGAGAGCTATGATAATGATCTGACAACTGATGAAAAGAATCGCTGTCTTTATCATAATACATTTCCGCTCCTGGGAATATGTTCTTATTAGGTGAAACCTGAAAAAAAATTTCAAGAACAAAGGTGAATAAAACACTTATTTGCAAAACATTTATTTAAAAACTGTTTAATCAATATTTTCAGAACCGACAGCCAACAGGTTATATTGGTATCAAAAAAATTAAGTGAAAAATCAACAAAAAATGATTTTCACTGCTGAATTGCGCACTCTTCAAGACATCTTAGTGTTGTTTAAATCAAAACTGTTAACTTCAAAGTATGAATATCCGTCAAAGTCTTAATTAGTTTAAGTATCTTGTACTTAAAATTACATATTCCATTAAATTACATTATGAAATGTTAAAATTATTACTTGCTTACGAAAATAAAATGTACGAAAACTCACAAAAAGATAGCCATCAACAGGAAGCTTTAACCCAACGCTGACATGACGCGCATCCCACATTAAGGGCAACTCTTCTAGCCGGGGTCGTTTAACTGGCGGCTGATTCAATAACTGCTGAAAATGATGTAATACTTCATGTCACGCAGTATTTCTGCAGATTAAAACAGAAACACAGACGTATTGCCATGAGAAACCAACCTTGAATCGTTTTTCGTCCATGATTTTCCGAACAACAAGTTTTTTCAACATAGGACCGTCGCAATTCGCTGTGTGTCCTTGAAAATATATAGTTATTTATGTCCATCCTCAAAAAATACCAAATTCAAACACCATATCATGATTTTACCTTTTTTAAAAATATCGGTATATGGAGGACCTAAAGCCAAGGCTAGCTGAGTTACAATGTCGTCGCAGTTGCCCAGTAATTCAATATCAGTAGAATAATGAGGTAAAGATTCACGATTAATGAGTATCTGTGGTACTTTTTCGCCAACGTTATAAGGTAAAAGGGCAACTGGCTGTACTTTTAGAGAGGATCCGATAACTACGACCAAATCGACCTGAAAAAATACTGGACAAAATACCGTAACAAAGTGGAATAAACAAAAGAAAGTATCAAGATAAAGCTTAGTCCGTACATCATCTTACTCTATTTATCTGCAAACACATCACTTTAAAACACTCAACTTCATCCATGCGAACAAAAATCTGAAGGTAGTTTTCCGAATGACTGCTTTAAAATATAAATTAGCAAAAAAAAACATATAATATGATTTAAAATGCAATCTCACTTTATGACAAATTAAAAATTCCCAGCAAGCACATGAGGAAAGTCTGAATTTAAAAAGCGAATACCTTGTTTCTATCTTCTGCCATTTTTTCATGGAAATCATCGGAAAGATCTTCACCGAAAAAAACTATATCAGGCTTTAAGACTCCTTCTGGTTGATTACATATTCGGCACATTGCGACACGCTGTAAAATTTGAAACATTTTCAACTACTGAAGATAATTTAATAAACAAAAACGCAATGAACCTATTCCTTTACACAACCTATATTCCGATAGCATTAGCACAAATTAATAATTCCTTAATTATTACTAGGTATCAACATATTTGCAGACTGGCACAAAAACTAATGAAATGAAAATTTTAAATTATACTCCAGCATCAATGTCTTCTCGAATTGCCTCACTGTCAACTTTCACACCACAGCTTCGACATGTTGCAGTTGCAAAGGATCCTAAGAACAAAAAATAAGTAAAATAAGTGGTAAAGAGCCTAACCGCATGATAATATCGCTACAAAATACATTTCTTATTTAGAAAATAAATGGTTGCTTTGTACAAGATATGTGCTGGTTATGAATATTTCTTCTATAAAATTTTGATTCATCCGTAGTTTCGCACAGACATGCATATCGCTCCATATTTCTAATAAGCTGTGCGGTAAATTAAAAAAATTATACCATGGCATTGTACAATTCGTTTGATACCAGCTACCTGCTCCAAAGTATCGATATTTTGAGTGTAATTTCTTAAAAGTTTCTCATCATCTTCAAGAGCTTTAATAAAGTAGTGGCATAATGAAGCTCTATAGCGGCCAGGAAACAACTCCTTAAATGCTTTCGTATCAAAGATTCTCAATTTTCAGTGCTTGAGCCTTTGGTAAAAATTTTGATCATACAGATACACATACTCTATACTACATATTTAGATGACAGAAAACTAAAATTACTTAATAAAACAAAACCATACTCTTGCAAATTCGAAAAATGGTTTCGGATTTTTTTGGAAATATTTGATATCAAACATTGCAGTTGGGTCTGGTAGATCGGGATACTCCATATGAAGCCGTGCATAGACTCCATTTTTGCTACGGAAATCTGGTATGCCGCAAGATACAGAAACGCCGGCACCAGTCAATACCAAAATACGATTGCACCTTAAATTAAATAATAATCCGTGATCCAACCGTGTTTTAATGAATGAATTTGACTTTGTTTTCAGCAATTGTTTAAAAAATTAGAAATTGAGAAATAATGTGGAGACCAACCTTCTGAATAGCTCGACGGCATCATCAAATGAATTGAACTGAGGTAATCTTATACGCTTGGGACGTTCGCTGTACACAATATTCCGGATAATTTGGTACAGTTCTTCATCAGATATACTTTCAGGCAAATCAATACGTGGTAGTAAGCAACGAACAATATCTCTTGCTGAAGGATCTAAAACAGAACTGAATATAGCTCTTTTGAATTCATAAAGTAAATGGTTTAGATTTAAATCACAAATACATATTACAAAGAGTATAAAAATGCAAAAAAAATTCTGCCTTTTTTCGAGACTCTAAGTGAGCTACTGACTTGCATTCTCACGACTGGAATAAAGATTATACATTATGAAGATCATAGCTCCAATACTGAATCAGTGTTCTCTCTGATCATCTGTGCTTACAAACTCATTTTTCTAAAGCAAAAAATGCTGTGGCTTCTAGGGACTAAATTTCTTAATATTCACTTAGAAATTATTTTTGAGATATCATTACGATCCACACCCCATTCCTATATGCCAATAAATCAAGAGCCAATTCTGTTAATAACTGTATTATTGAGAACTACATCACTTGATAATGGAATGGGATGAGTTGTATACTCGCGGAGGGGGAAAATATTTCTTGAACTTACAAAACGAGTGCAACAAACATGATGAAGCAAGAAATAAGTCAAGGTTAGACGAAAACACCTCTAGAATTACAAATTTTGATACAAAAAGTTGCTGCTACCAATAAACAGAACCCAGCTGTTTCGTATTTCAAGATTTTAAACGGTGGTACTTTGAGGAGATCTTGCTAATATGTGATAAACGAAACTAGAGACGACGGAGGTCAATAAAATGAAAATTGATGTAAAAAATGCAGGATTTTTAGAAATTTAATTATGCAGTCTCATAATATTCAAATTGAGAAATAAACTGAAGCTTAAAATGCACCCACATGTATTTGCAATTGCACATATCTCGAACAAACAAATTATGAAACAAGATAAATAGTTGGTATCTTCAAAATTGTTATATAGTAAGAAAGACATACAAGAAAAGTGCTTGACATTTCACTTCTTTAGAAATGATGCAGCAACATGAAAAAAAAACGGGGCTTGCAAAATTTATGAAGTATATTCAAGAGATTTCATATGCTCAAAATGGAGGATCAAAAGGAAATGTGTAATTTATAGAAAATACATCTTAAGAATTATGAGTTCGACTTTCGTAATGCTAACAAATTAAGGACTGCGATTACGACCGTTAAATGGATGATCTCATTATCTTGCACAATAAAGATTACGGAAAAAAAGTACAAAACGACGAAAAAAATACTACCTAAATAACGTGCGCATAAAAATGAATAAAAACCATAAACTGAATATGGAGCCAGAAATATGCTGAAGTGCAATAATTAATAAAGAAATGAAAAAAAGATACTATATCATGAACTGAAGTTAGCAGAGCAAGACGATTTCATCGTATTCGGTTTTAAATCATTACGAGTACTATTCATGTATAAGATAAAGTTGTGAGCACATTACGGACTTATTTCATTTTCGGGTGAAATACCGTTAGACAAATTGGAAAAAAAAAGCAAGTTAGATTTTTCAAACAAGTGACATACAAAATAAGGTATTTCAAAGTAAAGAAGCTATTTTTTTTTCCAGTACTGAACACTAACCTTTTTTAATAAAAATTATTTCGGCGCACCCGCATACACTATCAAATAGTAGAGAGAGATGACCAGAAGAACGATGAAATTCGGTTAGGTTTCTGATAGCTTTCAAAGTACTGAATAAGTAATTCCATGACATGATGCCAAAATGAGCAAAAGAAACTACTACATGCTTTTATTATAACGCCAGAGAAAAAAAATGAAAAACTAATGAAACTAGTAACTCACTTTCCCCAATAGCGCGGTCTCTAGCAGAAGTACTTCGTGACGCTTCATTGGTGGAATCCTCACTTATTTGAAGATTTATGCTGGCATTTTCCTCAACAGTAGAATTTGAAATAGAGCCCATCTTTACTTCTGCTTCATTACATACATAACCTGCCCTCATATTTCTATCCAATATCATGTTTTCACCTAAACTAATTGTCATTATTCCAAGCACGTCTTCGAAAAATTTGGTGTACTTTCCTGACTCTAATGGAATGACAAGACTTCCTAACAGATACAGTAAACAGTTAGATAAAGGCTTCAATTAAAAGCTTCAAAATATAGTAGAGACTCAACCCCTTTAGTTGGATCAAAAACACACTAAAGACAAAAACTAACATCTCATCCCACGTTCGCACTCGTCAGAATGCATGAATGAGAAAGCAAGACCAGCGCGCAATCAACCTATTCTAAAATAGACTGAAATAAAGTAATGCAAAAAGATGAACTAGCAACCTCAATATTTGGTGAACAATTTCATGCCAAACACTTGGCTATTCTTATGTAATTTTTATGGTAATGCAGGCGGGAATTGAGTTTGAAATAAAAGATACTAGCATATTTCTCGCAAAATAACTAAAAGAAGTTGCTGGAGTAGTAAGTGATGAGTGCATGTACAACATGCAATAATGCAATATATTTCTACTTTCAGTTTTCAACCGCTCGTTCCACACTTCAAACTTTCTAATGCAAATCGTGCACTTTCCTCTTCCATCACTCTTCTCTTTCCGTGATCATCACATGACCCGCCATACTATCTCTACTTGAAGAGATAAGAGCCTCAGAACATAATCAAATAATACCAAAGTTAAAGTGCATTCCAGGTCTTACCTAAAATTGACTACGATTTTGACATTTTGACATGAGTAGTTTTACAACGGTACCCTGCGGCCCGTTAAATCCTGTAAATAGGTAATTTATTCAATAATATACCTATGTTGTGAATTCGACTAATGCATAAGAATAAGCATGGACTGCTTCTGTCTTGTAATAATTATATTATTGAGCAAGTGCGTGCTTACGTGAGCATACTGTGCATCCCTTCTGAATTTTCCACGCATAAACATGTTTATCGTGTCAGCTTGCAACTACCATTCAACTGTTGTCCTCGCAACGTTTAATCATTTCTCTTCCGATATGATGTATGCGAAAATTGGCAGATTTTCCCTGTGTCTCTACGTTATGTTCTGTTTTCTTCCATATTTCATATAGTGCCATTCCTAAAAATATGGGACTTTATTCACACAGCAATTTCTCCATTCTGTTGTTGCATTCTGTACAGCTACAAATTATGAAGTGTTTGTTATTGTGCTTATCTCGAGCTACATTTCAACTTCTATCACTTAGGCTTAACTTGAAAACAGATCTCGTCTCAAGACAGTTCATCACTGGACAGCCCTTCTCTCGTTGTGACTATAAATTTATGCTATCATCATCAACACTTCATATGTACAGGAAACTGCGATCCTGTGTACATGGTCTGTACACAATTCTTTTGAAGCAGCTATATTTAATCACGTTTCCCTGTCAGTGTGAAAAAGCCTCATCAGTAAGTCTATTCAGCTCTATCGGACTTGCAGTGCTTTAAATGAGGGTTGCATAGCGACTTTTTTCCTTGTACATCTCTTAGATTTTCAAACTGCTGTGAGGTTCCCAAATTTGTGGACTGCTTCATTTGACGTTGTTCAGTGCTACCACAGCTGATTTGCAAATTTACTTGCATTTATAAATGATGGGAACCTCATTGGACTGTCGCGTGCTAATTGCCCCGTTTGTAAGAAATATGCCAACAAATCACTCCGTATGAAGAACTTCTTGTCAATAGACATTGATAATGTCTATACGTTAAAAGTAGCATGTTTAAGTATGACCGCAAACAACTTTTCCCAAGTCCTGGTTATTGCGAATGTTGTAAAAACTGTCAAAGAACCTACGTAAAATAGCGTCAACTTAAGTCCTCGAATCCCTCCTTTTTTTTAGAAACTGACGATCTCGAAAACAAGTTTGGATCGTTTTCGTATTGAATCTGTTTATTATTTTATAGCAGGATAGAAGTTCTTTCACAACAACCAATTCCAGAAGTCGTTTAGCGAAGCACCAAGCAAAGAGTACAAGAGGATATAGTAAATGATTAATCATCAACTGTAAACAGTGTACAATAAAAATAATTGAATGGGTAAAATTGTTTTTCTCTATTGCTTATATTATTGTCACTTTTCGGAAACATCATCTGAACTATTGTCTACATGAGACTTTCACAATGCACCAAAAAATATAGCGGTTACTTACGACGGAATATATTTAAAAAAACGATGAACACAAAATGAGTAACATTGTCAATAATGACGCACACTGTGATTATAGATTGAATTATAAATTAATGATACGGATGTAAGTGATAGAGACAACAGGTAGTGAGAGTGATGAGCAATCTAACAGTAGGATGCTTCATGTAGTGAAATTTGTACTTTGGCATAAAGATAAGAGTACGCTGCAGTATTTTGTCCTCCGTCTTAGAGGGCTACTCGAGGCCATTTTTTTTCCCCGAAGAGAGTGTTGCCATTTCTTCATTACCTTTCGGGATGTCGTTTTCGACTTCTTCAATTGTTTCAGGTAATGGTTGACCCATTGTTTCTGGTATAAAAAGCATTACAATGACGGCAGCTATAAGCGAAAGACTACCAAAAGGAATAATCATTGCCCATGTTCCGATTCGTTCAACCTAAAATGCATACACATAAAAGTCTCAAAAGCAAGCATTCAGCGTATACTGTGCTTACTTCCCATCTTGTATGGTCTTAATTCTTTATTCATTTACTATGTAAAAAACTGAAAAAAAAATAAAACCAGTAAGAAAAAGCTGAAAATGGGAACTTCGTATGACTACAAAAAATTGACCATGTTAATACATTACCAAGTATTATCAAGATACTCGTAAACGATTTTACTTATTTCAGAAACCAAAACTTGCCAGTGTTGGAGAATTAAAAAATTACAATCAATATATTAAAGAATTGTGGTAAAATAACGTACGATCCACATGACGATATAACACGATAAATTAGCACCAACACGAGCTATCATCGAACAACAACCCATGGCTGAGTTGCGAATCACTGTAGGATATAACTCAGGGGTAACTGTGTAAATTACAGCGTAACAAATGGTTATAGCAGCTTTTGCCATTAAAAACTGGGATACACTAATTATCCAATGCACTGAAATTAATTCCATCAGGCATCATTCACTGACTCATTTTTCATGCTGCAGGAAACTAGCAGTCTTATTTCAATTACTTGTACTACTTTTGTGGTTTTTTACCTCAGCTAGAATTAGCGATTAAATCATCGAATCTGCTAACAGCAATATTGGAGTAGAAATTATGGTAAAAATTTATTTTTCCTACATACTTAGTTTTTTATGAAATGTATTTTTGGAGAAAATGTACCTTGTGTTGGGAGCAAAAGATTAGAAAGCATGCACAGGGCAGCAACGAAATATCCACCAGCAAAGAATGGTTTACGACCAATTCTATCTATATATGCAAATAGCAGTATCAGAGCTGGTATTTCAGCAAGACCACCAATAATGAATGTTCCGTAGAAATCACCACCAAGAAAATCAGTTTTCATTGAAACACCGTAGTATATCATCGACACAACCTATTGAAATTCAGAAAAACTTATCAAAAAGAAGAAACTGCTTGTGAAGCTGCTGCATTAAAAGAGTTTCTATTTTGCAGGTACAAGCACAACAAAGCTTACGGGCCATAAGAAGAAGCATGAAAATGAACGTAATCGTATGCGCGGTGTGCGGACAAGATCTAGAAAATTGTATTTTCTTTGAGAAAAACGATTTTCAATATTTTCTTCTGGGAGATCGATTTGTTCCCACCATTTCTCAGGTAATTTTGTACCATTAATTTTCGCTGCGCGTTGCAAGATTTTATCAGCTTTTTCATATTGATGTTGAGATATAAGCCATCGTGCACTTTCAGGAATAATCCTAAATATATGTTTTGTTTTTATTTCTTAATTTCTCACGATAAGTTTTTTGTTTAGACACAGTTTTATTGAACTGTGATGAGTAATGTCGTTTATTTGTGTCTTATTATTATTATCTTAAATCATTCACTTTGATATTGATTTTTGGAAGAGATCTCATTCTTACCACCAATAACACATAAATACGAGTGCGGGCAGTGAGATAGCAAGTTGGAGATATCGGTAATCACGAATAAAATACGCAAGGCATCCAAGCAATATTTGACCAAACGAAAAGAATATTCCTGATATTACAGAGGCTATCTTTCTTTTTGATGGACCAACTAATTCCATACCTGCATGAAACATGATTATGCCTCTTATAATTTTAATCATGAAGCAAGAAGAGCAACTAACCAATGACTACAGCAATGACGAAAATTCCTGGATGTGCAAATCCTACAACAGCGCGTAATCCTGCAAATGCTGCCCAATGTGGTACTAGCGCCATTAAAGCACCAGCAATTATTTGTATAACTATTGCGATAAAGAATATCTTTTTACGGCCAATTCTGTAATGATCAATGATTTTTTTATTGTATGTCCTTAATTGAATATGACGATAAAAATTGAGTAATTGCAATAGCAGTTTAAAAGCTCAGTAAAAACAAAGATGCGTTTGTTAATCGAAAATGATAACTTTGATTAGTCCCAAATAACTAGTAAAGGATTAAAGAATACCTATCACCTAGGAAGCCAAAAAGTAATGAGCCACCCATTTGGCCAATGTAATAAGTTGATTGGATGAAAGCCTTTAGGACTGACCATTCGCAAACAATTTCCCACTAAAGTGTTGTATTTGTAATCACTGATGAACATTCTTATCAGACATTAATATTCACTTCATATATAAGATTGAGGTAGTGAGATATATATTTTCGTGTCGTACTGAACAATAATTTCTGCAAAGAAGGGTTGAAATGCTTACTCTGTTGATGGCTGAGTACTTAATTTGGGATAAATCAAAGATATATCCATAATGGCAGCTAGATTCATTTATTAGTCCACATTCTTTATATCTGCACTGTTTTCCATTTGTATCACAGTTTGACGAGTCTGATATCAATAGATCGCTTCTTGTCCAGTATTGCGCGGTATTACTTTCATTTTGCAGTCGACATCTAAACAATATCTTCATAGCACCACTACTCAATGACAAACAGTGACAAAACTAATGACTGAATGAAACTGTTAATAAAAATCAAAAGATTACGGAATTATGATACATGATAAACCAATGATGAACTTATTCACTTCTTATGTTAACTTCTCAATGATTTTCTTATTGAAAGCATCTGGTTGTTATGTTTTCCAGTTCCGATGAATACATAGAGTGTTGTCCTTCCAAGTGATAACAGATTTGTCTATGATTACATACGCTTTAGAGAGACATTCACCCAACATCTTTTGAATTCCTCAAAGTTTCTTGACCCATCGACTTGATTACAGTTATTAGTTTTCAAAATACAAAGATTCCATTGGCACATCTGTTACTTAGCAAGTACCGAGAAGAGAAAAAAAATCTGGTCTGACTGACTTTAGAGAAGTCACCAACTTTGTTCAGTTCAGCAAGAGCAGTTTGGGATTTCGATTTCTTTGTAATTTACTGACGTTATTTTCAGAGAGCTGACTGTTGGTATATACGTTTGTTTCATTATGTTCTCGTGAATATAAGCAATAAGAATTAACTTCTAAGAACACATATAAAAATGTGCAAGAGAAAGCGATAATATGAGACGATAAATATATCAATTGATCAGATCAAACAAAATGAAACAAACGTAGATACCAACTATATTTAACTTGATCTTATTTTGTCAAGTTAAAATTTACAAAAAAGAGTCTATTTTAGATCTCAAACCTTTTGTGCTGATAACAGATTGCTATACCACGATTTTATTGTTACTTATCTAAAAGAATCATTGACTTGAACTTATTTGTTCTGGCTTGCGTGCAACATCTTAATACATAAATACGGTAGGCTATGCTGTTCTCCAATTTCAGAATATCACCTTTTAATGCTCATTGGAAATTTTGCAAATTCTCAGGCACTTATGGTTACCAAAATGACTTACAAGTTTAATTTCGCGAAAATTATTCAAGTAAATTTTATTCGAAACATTCTACTTGGTAAGTGCTTCATCTAGTCTTGAATGCTACAGTGAAAACTTCTAAAAATAAGTAGAATTATTATTTTAGTTCTGATGGAATGTAATTAAAACAAAACAAACCTGTGTGGTACGGAAGCAGCACTGAATGTCCAGGACAAAGCATGCATAGAGACAAATATAATGGGTAAGCACACTAGTGAAAACTGTATCTTTTGATAACGACCAAACTCACCCAGATTTGTAGACAGCAAATCGTCAAATTTCATTTCTAAAATATGAATTAAATTTCTATTAGAGTAATAACACGGACTAACTGCGTCGAAAATATGCTAAAAGGGCAACGAAAAAAAAGAGTAAGGTACCATTAATTTACATAAGGCATGTCGAGATTATTCTGAAGACAAGTTTCATATGCTTAACATTTGGTGCCAAATATCCTCTATGTAATTAGGAATACTTATTAGTCTAATTAAAAATTAGTCGATAATTTGTTTCTCTCATCTGCTGCAGTTTATTCGCAACTAAAGTGTTGCTGTCTAGAAGTAAAATGAACCAAGTTACTTCTACGTTCGCTCATTTATAAACCTACGAAAAAACCCAAAACTTGAGGCAAAGGAACATAAAATTGGTTCTTATTATGGAAATCAAAACGACAGGTAACAGCGAACTGTGATAAAGCGAACTGCACCACTCACGGACAGACAGTTAGCAAACCAGGTTCGAGGGACAGAAGGCTCAGCCGGCCACTGAGCTCAGTTCTGTTTCACTCTCAGGACGACATTAGCACAATGAAAGTTTAAAAAGCGGATGTGATCTCTGCTCTTTCCTTTTTTCTTCTCCTTCTTTCCACAAATCGATGCCATTGTATAATCTATGTTTGCTTCAAAGGCCACAGTTATCTGCAGTTTACAAGCATTGAACAAATTTTAGCACAGTATGTGTGTCATGAAAAAGTATTATATATGCATGCATTTGTAAATATTTTGCATACACACACAAATGTATGTGTCATGCTTACTACTACTACTATTGTCTGCTGCATTATTAATATGGTTGTGAATGTTGCGGAACAAGACAAGCAAGAAAACATGCTGGGCACGAGAGGTGCTGCTCAGAGATGAAGAAGGAGGACGTAAAAGCAGATATTTCGTGGTGGGCAACGTCTACTAAGTGGTGTGTAGCATGTAATTGATTTGCAGTGGTCGAATCATCTTTCACCAGCACTGATCCTCGCTAAACCTCATCAGTCTACCTGTCAACAAATCAGTCGGTCGGGTAGAAGTGTTCTAAATTAACCATCTCATTATATGTTGTGACACGTGTGATCATTTGACTTGAGCACAAAATTTATTAAATATTCGCAAATTTTTCGAATCACTATCAAAATATTTGTCTTAATACGTTTTTTCAGATAATTAATAATCTACTAATTCTATTCGTGTTTAGCAAAATGGAAAAAAGAAATCAAGTGTAGAAATACTGTAAAGAGTTTTGTTCTTTTCGTAATAATTTCTTGAACTTAACATTTCGTCAGTATGAATTATTTCGTTTGGATGAAACACGCTGCCAATTCTTAGTTGTAGTCATTAGAAGTCAATGATTAATTTTTTGATCACTGCTTGTTGTTTATCAGAAAATTATTTCAAAAAATTAAGAAATCAGTAATTATCTGAAGGCTGGCTCAGGTTTTAGTTCAAAGAACAAAAATCTTCTTGATGAATGTCTTTAAATTAAAACGAGTTTAAGTAACAACTAATTCGATTAAACGGATGTAGATTAAAAAATTGATTATAAACAAGCATTTTGTTTCATCTTCCGTTTGAAGCTGTAAAATGAATAGTTTTAAATCTTTACCTAAAATGATCAATGCAAACAGATAGATCATGAGCACTAACTAATCAATGACCTGTAAAATTAATTAGATTGCATATGTAGTTGATACTTTCATAATCAATATTATAAACAATTTTAAATGCAATGAATTATAAAAGTGATTGTTTATAAACTGAGTAGTAGTAAAACTAGTAGTAGTGCCTGTGTAAAATGAATAATGAGATTCCCACCATTTTTAGCCAATAATTAAAACATTTTTTCGAAAACACACAAAAAAACTGCAGGAAATACTGTCATGTTTTATAGTCCTAGTGTTATAAATAGCTAAGAAAGTAATAAATTTTCATAAGGACTATGAGACAAATCATATAATTATGTAAATTTACATTTCTATTGCACTCTCGAAAATCACAGATACAATATAAAATTTTTTTCATCATCTATGCATAAATCAGGTGACGATGGTAAATACTTGATACCTCCATGCTTGTTGCTTTACAGCTTAATACCAAAAACATCTTAAGAACAAAACATAAATGAAAATTTTGTAAGCAACAATTTTAAGTTGAGCACTGCGGTCAGACTTCTACTCATTTTAGCTCTCTATTTTCTCATAACTGCTAATCAGTTCTGAACAATGAAAGAAGTTCGAGTTCGTAAAAATGGTAACTGTGGTATTGTAGGATGCAGATGTAAAAGAGTAGATGCTTTTTAAATTATTGATAATAGTCAACGTTGTAAATGCGACTAATAGAAATGTTGTTGGCATATTACTAGAATCAAACTATCAAAAGCAGTGATCGTAATAATAATCACAATAATAATAATGGTGACAATTATTATTATTAGCAACAATAATAAGAATAATAATAATAAATATTAATGTTCAAAATGCAGAATTCATGAGAAATTCTTTGATATCAAATTCAATTGAATAAATGAAAAATGGGAACGATATTTTCTTCCATAGAACATCATTTCTTGCTCTCACATTTATTTTCGTCAATAAAAATTATCGATACCCTCAGAATGAAGACAGTATAGTTCAAAAAACCGAAGTACAATATAGCACATATTTTTTTCTCGGCAAGCACTCTGTATAGCTTATCCAACTTTGAATATTCAATAGCTTGAGATTACAGTGCTTCATTCGAGGCAATTTCACAGTTGTCAAAATGCATGCGATAAGTGTTAATCATGATGAACTACAAAATACTATAATATAATTCAAACAAAGAACAAAAAGTGACTGGCTTTTTGCATTTGAAATGTGATCGTTTCAGAAATTCGAAGAGAAATTTGCTGAAACTTGTATAAAACAATACATATATGCAAGAACGGATTTTTCCAGATAAGATGCCAAGAGCAAGCAACAAAATTAAGTCAATAATTGAATTTAGGCGAAAAAAATAAGTGTATTTGAGATAAATAGTTCGCTTCACAATCCTTCAGGATCTAACGGAACACGAGTCGTTCTGCAGAACCTTTTCACTGCTATAAAAAAGTCTTTTCAAATTACGTTTCATTTCGTAAGCTTGAATACATTTAAGCCCCCAAAAACAGCGTAAGACAACAATAAGTCATACGCATTTTTGAATCACGCGGGATTGCGGCTTGTAATGTCGACCCCATCTATTATGATGAAGAAAAATGATCATTACGGACATTTTTGTGAACATTTCTCACAGAAAAAAAGGAGATTATTATTTTGCAGCAGATTGGAGAGTACTTTTGCATCTCGCTGCTTTCACTAAACTTATTTTACTAGATACCAAACTTATTTTATTACATGCTCAGTATGTAAAATTTTTGGTTTGCAGTTGGGAGATTGTCTGTAATTTGTAATACATATAATGTTCTAATGTATCATTTGTAGAAAATTAACAGACAGCATTTATGTTGAATTAAGCCGCAAAAAGCGTAAATAAAAATGATTAAGTTTAAATAATGCTGATAACTTTATTTTTAGTCTGCTTTATAAAGCGGAGGCTTCTCTTGTCGTGCGTATTCAATAAATTTTTATTGGTCTGCTCGTATATTCGATAATTCATATGCTTTATTTTAAGGATCTAGACCATTGTTATAGGTACATGGCGCTGACTTCTTAATTCTAAAGATATGACAGTCAGCTTTCTTATAGCTTTGTTCTTTTCTTTGTGCAAACAAAGTTTAGTAAGGTGCGAACCAAAGGAATGATGCTGAAAATATAAACTTTACAAAGTTTCTTTTTTAGGAAGTAATTGTTGTATGCTAAATTACATTTACAGATATGCGAGAACCGGTGCTAAGTTCTTGTTTCCATTGAAGTAACGAAAGATACCTTGAATTTTTTTAAAATTCAAATAAGATGAAGTGAAGATGCAAACAAGAGTCAATCATGTTAGTCCAAAGAAGTTTTGTGCGTTAGGTGAAGGTATTGCCGCAAATAAGAATAAAAAATGAATGATTTGCAAAATTTTCAATCAGTTTTCTGTACTGCTATACTAATTTGGTTTCAGTGATCAAAAAGCATTTATGAATTTTTCAAAGGGTGATATGCAGTAGCGATTGGAAATTAAAAGCAGAAAATTGTTGAATTACAAGGATCATGTTGATTTCACCTGCTGCACTCTGAAAGATATGGCTTCAACTGTATAGTTGGGATTGTTTTTTGAGATCAATGAAAGTATCAGTTCCTGGTGACTGAAAGCCAGCGCGCAAAGTTATAGTGGCTGTTACAAGCGCAAGAATGTTCAAGCAATCTTCCTGATAGTAGCGGTGAATTTCTCCATTTTCTTGTTCATTAATGCAGGTAATTAATTAAATCTAACCTTTTGCCTGGATATAATTCTCAAGTAATATTTTGTCTAGTCTCTTTTACTGTTTAATATATTTTCCTATCTTGAAAATTAAAAAAAAAAACTATTCATACTTTTGATTGAAGCATCAAACTTCTTCACAATATTGATGTTTATCTGTCAATTTTACATATAGTAAGTTTAAGCACTAAATTTATTAGCAACAATCAGTGATTAATTTATTGCTCTTAAAATTCACTTTATGCCACTATTCTCTTTATTTGGCTAAAATGACAAACTCAGCATTTCTTTGTATTATTTTGATGAAGAAGACAAGCCTAAAACTATACTGTAGCACTTCAGAAATAAACTTCACTTCTTCTTTTATCGTCTTTAAAAAGTAAGTAATTATCAAGTAAAAGTGAAACTTTAAAAACTGATTAACTTCATTTAGAAATTAAGTTAACTTATTCCAATCTAAAGTTAAATGTTGATTACAGTAGTCAGGCATTTCCTTCAAACAGAAGCACACTTTAGCCTGAAAATAGAGAAATTCAAATTTGCACTATTTAAATATTATTGTTGAAAACATGTCAAAAACAATGGACTGAATGTATTCAAGACATCGTATGTTCTGACATATTCGAAACTGAACTGGAAGCAACAAAAACTAGATGTAATTTGTTATTATCGATACTCATAACTGATCTATTTATTTAATCTTCTATTCCTACTTTAGAATTTGGAATATTTTCAGCAATGATTACTTTGCAATTTTTTTCGGTTTTTCAAATGGTGAAAATTATGGCAGTATTGTAAAACGATCATTCTATCATTTTAAGGGTCCTTGAGGCTACTGTTTAGGGTTAACTTGAGTCCTTGATGAAATTGCCTATTTGAGAGTATTGAATTTAAACTTAAAATTTAAAGTGTAAAAATACGTGATTTCAGAAAATAGTGTTCGTTGTGCATTTCATCATAGATTATTATCAATCAGGCATGTATCTGAATCCTATGTGATTGGTGAAAAACAGTTATCATATGATGTAAGAAAGATACAGGATATTCTTGCTTCACTTTTATTTTCGAATGCCACACTTAAATGTTATGAAAATGCCTTAAGAGATCATTCAGGAGATATAAAAAATCCAGCAGCTCGAAAAATTAAAAAGTGGAAGAATAACTGTTCGCAGGTTCAATTTTTGCTCGTGATTACTGGGTGTAACTCATTTTTAAATGACATGCATTGCAAAAGAAAAGACATGCACTGACGAAAAGTTCTTCATCCTCAATACCACAAGAAATTGTTTTTTTCTCTAGATGTGATTGTTGGCAGGCATTCGAAGGGATAAGCTGGATCGCTCTCGGCAACTGTCTGTGCTATGATCAAAACCTAGATTGTTACTGTATTCGACTGGAAACGCAGTACAATGAATGTGTCTGTAAGCTACGAATTTAAAATTTAATGTGAAGATAGAAAGAATAAAAGATATAAAAATGCTCACTGAAAAAGAAATCTTTTTTAGGCTTTAAAAAAGTTTATGTGGACTAATAAGAGAGATTCTCTACACATATTTAAGATCAATCCAATGCAGCTGTGAAACATTAACCTCCATCTCATAAATTTCCCTGTAAAAAATAGTTACAGATTGCTTTAAATTTGGTTCTAAATTCAATTGGCGAATATATTACAAACTTTTTCTTATTGCAGAAATCTTATTAATCTTACCAAAATAATCACGTTGAATCATAAAAATTATTTGCTAGTGAAATTGTTTTGTTAGGATAAGCATTACCATCGATGATCAGTGTACCTGAACGTTTCTACCTCAAATTATACACGTCGGAGAAGTTTCTACTCATTTTCTTTTACTACGATTCTCAAGTTACACTTATAACAGAACGGCAGTTGTCTGTTGAAGTTGACAAAGCTAGCGATTATATTAAGAATAATAAACCTATTAAAAAATGAATAAATTTGTGAATTTTTTTTTTTGCAGTTGGCTTCATAATATTCTGCACATATGAATTAGTATGACTAGCAAGTTAAATATCACGTAAGACTAATATTGCAAAAAACGTGTGTATTGTTGTCAACAAAATGAAAAGGGCCCAAAATCTTTAAGAGACATACATGTGTTATGTGAAATTGTAATTGATATGGATCGTCAGTGTCAGTCAGTTTCGCTTCAAAAATTTGCGAAAAAAAATTTGGCTAGAAGTATGCTAAATGACTCATGACTTTGTAGCACTTTGTGATTTTTATATTATTCTCATATCACATACGAAGGACTTCAACTGTCAGTAAACTAATTTTAGATAATAATTACCATTTGCTTATTACACCGAATAACTGGTTTTATCAATCATAGGCCGATCACTTTTTAATCAGTTGGTCACGTTCATAAATGCTTTTTAACGTGCACTTTTGTTTTTTCTAGACATCACATTTCACTTTTATTACACTACTTTCCTAATGATCGTTGCATCCTTTCAAGTACGAAGCATTATCGAGATGCAATAATCACTGTCTGAGGAAGTTCTCCTGATTCTCTGTCTTGTTACTGTTCACAAAATGAAGTTCAAAAGTTATGAGGACTACATTTTTGTTGTAGGAAAGACAAAGGCATAATAAATATTTGAATGTTATAAGGGACGAACTGCCAATCCAAAAGGTATATTTCAAACCAAAAATAAAGACCGTAGTTACCTCATAAGCTATGAGAGGCATTGAAATATCTATTGAAAATAAACACGAGTTAAACAGAATGGTAGAAATAAAGCAAGAAAGCAAATTAATAGCGATATGGCAACATGATTCTAAGATAACTGATAAAAAAACCAAGTATCTGAAGAAGAGAAGAGAAGTGGTGGTGGTAACAAATGGGACAAGCTGCAAGTGCCTCCTATACTATATACTCAAACTGACTCTCGAATAAGAAGGAAAGTAAATTAGGATTTATCTTACGCGAACAGTAGATAAACTGAAAGAAAGCGAACATTCGCGAGACCATATGAGTTCAGAGAAGCAGGATAGAGATAGCTATTTCAGACTGCTCCCAGCTTTACTTCAAGGCGTTTGCTTCTTCACCTTATTCTAGGGAAATGAAATGTCACTATTCGTTGCATATTCATACTAATGTAATTGAAAACCCACAAATATGAAGTTAGTTACATAATTTTTAAAGAAACCAAGAAACTAAGTTCAACTTATGAAAATGAGTTATCTTTGTTTCTATGTACTTACCATCTGTGCATATAAAATTCTTGTAGCCTGTAAGACTGCAGTCTATGACTAAGAAACCAAATAGAGAGCTGATATTCACAACATTTTTATTATTATTTTAAAATAAGCGTAAGAACGGACGAGCAATTTGGAAAAACAAATGACTAATACTAATATTCACATCAAATAAGAGAGAAACCTGCATGGTTTTCACTGGTAGTTTTCATTTCGCTAAAGCATCTGTTTAAAGCTTAAGATACGAAATGCCTTAGCAAGACAACCAATAAATATAATTATTACGATAAATATAGTACTCTGCTCAAGGATATTCAAAGATAAAAATCAACGACCAAATTATCGCGAGTCATTGATGTTAATAATTTACATGATACCAACCAAGGATAATATTGATATCATTAGAATTGTAACGGGCATGGATCAGTCTGCTCCAAAAAAATAACATTTCTCTTGTGAAATCGCGTTGATTTTGATATCAGATCAATGATAAAATATTTTCGAAGACGTATAAACAAAAATTTCAATAATTTAAGGTGCAGTAAGAAAACCATGAGATATGGAGTGAAGAAATTATTGTTGTAAACGATCTAATAAATAAGATGCTCACTGCTTGGAGAAGCTTTCAAATGGAATATGTATTTGGCTGTCCATTCATTCATTGCTTCGAACGTCTTTGGTCAAGAAAAAAATGTAAATAAAATCTTCTTAAAATATAAAATTCAACAGGAAAACAATAAGTAAGCAGGGAAGCAAGCACTAATGAAGCAATTTTCAGTCGTTCGACATCAATTTCTTTAAAAGTATTATGCAACATTATCGCCTCCTACGTCGGGTTAAATCCTTTTTAACATTAAATACATTCATTTATTTTACTATGGAACAAATAATTAGATAAAAATTAAATAGTAGTCATGTTAAATCCTTTTTTAACATTAAATACATTTATTTATTAGATAATAATTAGACAGTAGCTATCTAGTTATTTTTACTTTATCATAAGGGTCTAGTGAATCAACAAACTACAATTTTTTTGTTCGCGTTTGCGATGCAAAAAAGTTTTCAAAAATTAATATTCAGGCGGTTATGCTGCTACAACAGATACGGAAAGGAGGCAATTTATCAAGATGGTTCAATCTTTAAGGTTTGTTTGTTTTAATATTATTCGAATGCACTCATTCAAAATTTTTTAAAATTTCAATAGAATAAGATTATTGAGGAGCGGAATCATTAAAAGGAATCAGTTTAAGGTTTTTAAACACGATTTCTAATGTTACCGTTAACATATGCATAATGGTAGTAAAACTGTTAGGTACATACGTCTAATAATGGTGATAATATTTAGCGCTACTATAACTGGACTCGTTGATCAACTTCCTGGTGCATACGTAATGGTTATAGGGAAAAAATATCATGTTGGCAATTACCATGTGTTATTGAAGAGGACTGCAAACAACTCTTACAAAATGGTATTTCTTAGATGAATTATTTGATTTGAAAGAGGAAAAATAGTAGTAGCTAAATAAGTCAGAAGAATTGCAAGTATTTCAGTGTTCACTGTTTAAATAATAAGAGAGTAAGTATCTTTTATTGACAGAATGTGGACACTGTATTGACTAGGAAAAGGGGCATGCACATGCATAAGCGGGACATTTGCCTGTGAACAAGCGAATAACTTTCTTGAATTAGGTTTCTATTTGTTAGTGGGATATTCAATTGATAAAACCGGTGCGCTCAAAAAATAGGTCCCAAAAAATGTTTGTGAGAAAGTTGGATTTATTTTGAAAAACACTGATATCGTACACGATACTAGAAATCGTCTACAGATAGTGCTACAATATTTTTTCCCATCAATTAGTTAGCTGCGTTACTGCAGTGCATTCAACTTTGGATATTATAGTGCTACGAAAAATACAGTATTCATACCACATTATGTCACTTTGGATAAATTATTTAATTTTGAAATAGTTCGAAATCAATCGAGAGATCGTGTGAGTTGAAACGTAAAAAAATATTGAAAAGACATTATGCAAATGATTAAACTTTGCAAAGCGATTCTTACATGACTGAATACAAAAAAAAGTAAAAATTAAATTTTAGTTGCAAAGCTGATATAACTAGCTACACTTAACTGAGTGATGACTAATTGGTAGATTAAGCACATATAGTCATAAAAAACTATTTGAATGAATATTAGTATTCTTCAATTACAGATCTCGTTTATTAGAAGAGCTAGGAAAATTTTTAGAGTAAATGTATACTGAATAAGTAAAATCTAGCATCTCATCCGTTGGAGTTGTGTGTAATTCTTCGTAACAACCGAGTCATGAGTAGAATCCACTTGAAAACATTCTGCTACTTGAATAACAAACAGTAATAAAATGACAGATTTTGATGAACGAAGCTCGAAAAGAAAGCCAGAAGCGAAGTTTCTGAACAAAAAATCCAAAATCATGATGCTTTCACCAATAAAAAAATACATCATGTAATTCAGGTATAAATGACACACTAACAATAAATTTTTTAACTTTGTTCCCCTTATCTAACCCAACTAACGAATGTGATCGTGCAAAAACGATGCAGTGTGCTATGAACTGATTCTTTCAACAATAAAGCACACCAAAAAATACGATTTGCTAAACTGTCTTTGTGACCAGGCAGTAAGTGTCATATGCAGCAACATGTACTCTGGTTTCAGTTGCATTTGATATGTTACATTTAATCATTATATCCATTCATCTCTTTAAATATTGAGAATATGTGTAAATATTTTATACTCATTCAGTTGCATGATCGAGAACAAACTTGATTGATCTAGCAGAACACAAAACCATATAGATTAATGCTAAATCTATTTGATTAGTATGAATGTTCTTAATTTTTCGATGATACTTTTTTAATGATCTGAGGCTGAATAAGTTCACAGATTTTATCTGATTGCTCTTTATGTCTTGGAATTCAGCAATTCTTTGTTTAAACAGTAATTATGAGGGGAAAAATTTATGCAGTACTTCACAAAAAAGCTCTATACTTCATTAAAGGTACGTTTCTTGCTTAAAGTCCTCACGAATATCTGTAGTCGCACAAGCTTTTGTTTCTTTTTTTTGGGATATTGAAATCAGGTTGATTTCTTGTCGTTATTAACCAAATCTAGATTTCTGTTCCTATTTGTTACTGTATGACAAAATGGACAACCACGGCTTTTTAGACACGCCAATTCAAAATCATCTGCTTGGAACATCTGAAACAACAACGTTATTGAGTAAAGACTACAATGACCATGATGTTATCCACGGTGCTACAAAAATTTTTACGCTAGTTTTTGAATCTCATATAAGCAAGCCAAACTATCCTCATATCTTAAGATTGGTTTCTGCTGACTTACAGAGGTTGGAAGAAAAAGAATTTTATTTTGATATGAGGATGGATTTAATGAATAAGGTAATACAAGTTAACCGTCAGTACTTAAAGAGGGTATAAGAAAATATATTTGTTCATTCGATTTGATTTAGAATAGGGGTTGTAAATAAGCTGGTGTGTGAGAAAAAAAAATGTGACGATAGTAGAATTACTTAATCATAATATTAAATAAGACTGAATAGAGAGATTGATCACTTGATTAACGTATGTTTTGTATAAAGAAATGGATAGCAATCTAAAAATTACAAACATGATGACAAGAGTTGCAGTGTGTTATTGAGACCTCTGGTATGACATTGTAATAAAAACGAGTAACGAAAGGTGGTGGCCATTCAGAAATAATTACTTGATGCTTTTCTAACTTAAGCAGTGTCTCACGATCCGCTATAATTTTATTCGTCTCCATGTTCATCTGCAATAGTTGAGGAATTTCGTAGCAATATTTAAACAAGTAGCTAACGCACCACTCAAATCAAATGTTGTAATTGTTTTAATCTCTCGTATCTTGGTTTATCTAATGACTTATGTAATGACAAATTTCTCCCTTTATATCATGACAAATCTGAGATTTACATGCACGACTATTATTCGTTTCAAGTGCTTATTCATCTACGTTTATCAGTGCATCTTTTCTGGAATAAGATCATTTTTTTTCACGTACTTGTTTCTGTAAAGGATTCTCTTCTATTTGATGAAGTGGTGGTTCAGCATTTATTATTCTCCGTGCTTCTTCTAAATCTATATCATCGCTGATGGTGAATTCTACTAAAGGTAACACTTCTGTAAGAAAAAATTTTTATAGCAGAAAATAATGTTTCTGTTAATGTTAAGAAATACAATTTCTTAAAAACTTTCAAAATTAGCTAAGAAAAAGTTAACTAAAAAAATAGTGCATTGTGTATTCAAAGTCTTCCAAAGAAATGTGTCTTCCTTTTTGTATTTATAGTTACGAGAGCGAAGAAACTAAAAAGCTTATAAAAGAATGTATTTTGATCAATAAATGCTTGAAAGCATAATAAAAAGCCAAAAGCTTACCAAATGTTATAAATGATAAAATAAATGGAGTTTTGCACTGCACACATTCATTACTACCGATTAGAGGATTGGACAGGCCACATCTAAAGAGTGAAAACCGTAACGCAATTGCTGCATGGATAATTTATATGAAACCCATTTCTAGCCAAAAAAAGTGAACAATCGTTAGATTTTATCGTCAGCATTACTTTTCACTCGGAAAAATTAAGGAATTGCAAGTTAAACGGTACTTTACCTGTAACACATGGGCAATAAGCCTTCGGCATCTGTGAAAGGCTTCGATCTAATCATCAGCGCATCAATCTCGATAAGCTTCTCAAAATATCTTGGAATTTTTAGATAACCTAATTGTTCTAAGGCATATCTCGCTAATTTGTTTGCACCCAATGCTTGACCTTGCTTTAGCAAAGTGTAGAAGATACTGCTGAAATATCAAGATAGTTTGAATATGTACTGGCATAAACAAGAAAACATAATGAAGCAATGGCATCCAGAATCCCCAATTACCTTTCCAACAGTGATAACCTATCCAAAGTAACTTAACTATTTCTTATTAAAAGAATCCAGAAGTCGCGCTTAGATCTTAAAATCTACTCTTTTAAGGCCCAAAAATTTTACTCGTAAATTGAAAATATATGATTGCATTTTGTATAATAATAATTAGTTTGTGAAGTGAAAGCAATATTAGAGCTACAAAGAGTGGTGCTCTTTGATGAAACGTGATTGTATATTAGACAGATAGATAATATGAAAAGCTTATCAAAAATAAGGTCGCCTTGACAACATAAGTTGTACAACAAAAAAATAATAAGGTTGCCTTAATAATTTACACAACTCACACTCGTGATAATTTGTAAATTTGTGTTTGGAAAGCCAAATAACGAGCAATATTGATTAAAGATTCAGCAGGGCAGCTTGTAAATGGCTCAGTCTGTAAAAATCAAAACAGTAAAAATGAAAAAAAATTTCACATCCGTGTGATGCATATGAAGTAGTGATTTTTTCAATAAATAAATCCCACAACTATAAACTGAATTATCTCTAGCCACATTTTAATACAATCCAATAGTACGTAAATCACTTTTTATAAATCCCATAAACATAAATGAAGTCAGATGATTTTATTCTAAAAAAGACCAAAAGCATACTAGTTACATCAAAAAACTCAAACTGACATATTTAGATCTCTAAGTGATGAATATGCCATGCTCAAGCTTTTTAAAATATTCAAAAGTATTGTTTGGAAACAAACTGCACAGGGCACAGGCATGACAAAGATTTAGTAGGATTAATAATAAAATGTCAAAACTTATTATAATAAAATCATCAAGTATATACAACCAAATATTTATGAATGGCGTCGAATGCGTAGTAGCAGTTTGCTTTGTGGGCTAATTCTATAGATTTCGATTTCAGTTCACGATCTGAGGAGCACTGATATAAAAATCTCATACTTAATAGCCAGTTATAATAGCCTGCATCTAAATAGCGATTTTCATTCACTGCATTTTCCTCCAGCTGCTCCAACACTTGTAAAGCTTCAACATCATGTCCAGCCATATGATAGGCTGTAAACGATATACTTGCTTATTATGCTAAAACTTGGATTTGAGCTATGAGAAACATGTATCAAGAATATGATAAGAAGACCTTTTTGAGCTTCATCAAAATAATCCTTTTCTGCTAGCCACCTCGCATATGGTAAATAAACTTCTTCATTATAATCCTGATGTTTTGCTGCTATTGAAAATGCCTGCAGGTAAGGAATAAATCAATTTTTGGAATGTGAAATATAGATAATTGAAAATGCGGGTCCTTGACAAGCACTCCAGTTAAGTATCAAATAACGATCAGAAAACAAAAACTTACTTTATTCCAAAGTTTTGCTTCAACGTACATATTTATCGAAGATCGAATGTCATTAATTGATTGGTATAACTGAGATGCTAACGTATATTCGTTTTTTCTGCCTAGATAATTTGCGATTGTGTGCAACAGATCAACATTACTTCCATCAATGTGATGAGAAAGATTTATTAGCCTAGAAACGAATACTTACCACGAAACTTAATGAGAATAGGCTGAATGCTACAGCAATACTTGTTTCAACAATCTGTATAATTCTGAAAGTAAAAAAATTACATATCAGTCCAGTCATTTTCGATCATCAAATTAACTGCTTTATCGAAATCGCCTGAAGCAATGAACATTTGTGTAGCAAAAAGAGGCTGGTTCGAATCTTGTGCCCAATCAGCTTGCTTCCGTATCATTGCTCTTTGCGTCTCTCCAGAAGCTGATGACAGCAATTCCTGAAACAAAGTGTTCAAAGTACTAAAAAATACCTTCGCAATTATGATCGCTGAGAACATCTAACTAAAATTTGAAAGCATGCATCTTTTTTTTTGCAAAATCAAGAAGTTAAAGCAATTAAGACATTACTTCAAATGTATTTATATTTTATTGAACCTGAGCCTGATCGAACATACGCAAATCAGTGAGCATCTCTAATGTCTTCTGCTCACTTTTAGCATTTTGAAATAGCACAGCAGCTTCAGTAAACCGCCCTTCATAAGCTTTCATGTAAGCCAAGATCAAATTTTCATTTGCATTCTTTTTCAACATATTCTAAAGCTTCATTTCATAAGAAAATACGCATTTGTTGCATTAAGAATCAGCATAAGTGATCAGAGGAAAATTTTCAAACAGAAATAAATAAAACACCTTGATTTCTGAGATCAGTTGCAAATACCGAGTGTTTTTTGTTCTATGAAAGGCTTTTTGAGCTATTTCAAGCTCTAAACTATGCAATGCATCGTGACCAAGAATTTCCCAATCACTTTCGGTAATTCCTAATGATGCCAGTTTGTATGCTTCTCTATAAAACGACAAAAAGATATGATGTATACACTGCTGTGTAAAATACTGTATTTTCATAACTGCAGTAAAAGGTTGTCAAGATAACTACACTTAGGTTAGTTCTTACCGGTACATTTTCTTTTCAAGATATTGATAAAGTTGTTTAGAGAGAGGTACTTGCATTATGCTTAATGCAAACATATGCAGGCAAAAAACACGTTTTCCTGAGAAACCGACGACAAAACCCTGAAAACTTTTCTCACAAATAATTAGCCACTGCTATTTTATGAATTACACGACAGGAAACACAAGCCATAACTTTTCATCAATGCAAAAAAAATAAAGATGTTTACATTCCGCTAATGTTTTACCTGCATTCGCTGTTGATATGGTGTAAAATTGTCCGCTTTAATGCACAGCGTTCCGTCACCAGAATAACAAAGGAGATTTTCTTGATCAACATTCCATGCAACACTACTACATGACGGCTCCTACAAAATCCTATTTTACTGCAAAAAATGGTTTTATAAATGTAGAGTGCTAATGATGATAACGTCTAACTTGAAACAGAAGCTGTTTACTTTTCGTACTGAAAGTCATGCACACTCCAGTCCCGTCAACGATTGCAAGCTTCCTTCTAAATTCAAGGCACAATCTTTGTATGATGAGGAATTTAGTTAATTTAATGGTACTCTATACAATTAATGCAAGAAAGAAGAAAGTTCCAAACGAAATCAAGTTTTATGCATAATCAAATAGGATTTTAGCAATTCGTACCTTAGATGGCTGATGTCAAGGCACCTGACGGTATTTTTCAAACAGAGTAAATCAATAGGAAATGGATTATCCACAAAGATTTTACAGACCTGAACTTATTTACTTTTCATTTTACGTTTTCTTCATGAACTTTTAATGGAAAAATCGAGTAACTAGTAGCCAAATATTGCTTTCAGTTTAAAAATAATTTGTTTACAGAATTTTATCATGAGACAGCAATATATCAGTATAATTTTTTGATTTATTACAAACATACAATTCCATTGCGTAAACCAATTAAGATGGCTTCTCGTCCTGATGGACCACCAATAACTTTTATGTAACGTATCAATGACTCAAGAATCCATTCTCGTTGCTTGAGCCCTTTATGATCATAGCATTGAAGACGTTTTTCCTGGCAGATTATCAAGTGTTTTGAACAAAGTACCTAAATAGGAATTCTTTCTTCAGCAAAATAATTCAGTACACAATATTAATTATAGTATATTAAAACTGTGTTCAGTTTTTCGTGATTAGTAGTTGTTGAAACTAACAAGTAATGAACATTGGAAAGAACTGCTTATTGTTTCTATTAAACGATAATCTAATTGTCCATCTGCATGTTGCACATCTTGCTGATAAATTTTAACACAGTCTGTAAGTTGAACCTGAAACATCTTTTCTGCAGATGAAGTTTTTCTATAATATTCCCCAAACTTCTTACGAGATTAGATAGCACATTTTATGAAATTCCAACCAGAGATTTCTGACTACTATGAAATTATTATAAATACACTTCACTGCTTTTTTTTTTCAGTTAAACTCGTTATCCAAAGTTTCAAGGGATATGTTGTCTAGTGTTAAAGGACACAAATTTTGTTTTATGCTGTGAAATTTAGGCTTTGCAACTTTTCATTTTTCACTACTTAAAATGTTGATAAGTACTACAAAGTGATATTTGCTGTAACCTTTAAATTTTTAAAAGTGAAATTACTATTAATATACCTCATTAAAAACAACACCATACAGAGAGTCACCTAAGTAATGTCAATTAAAATTAAAAAATATTCATCCTCAATGGAAAAGCAGTCACAATTAAAATCCCAAGATAATGAAAACAGCAAAATTATAATATAGAAATTCACAAGTTTTTATGCCTTTTAAATATTTAGAAACCATTTTTTTTTAAAACAAAAAAGGACGAAGAAGACGTACTGCAAGTTGATTATGATAAACTGCAACTTTACGAACCAAGTCACTGCATTGAATTACAACAGACGTTTGATTTTCAAGATGTTGTACCACCACGTCAGTCATATTTTCACGGTAAGCATAACGTTCCTAAGCAAAAATTTTGGCATTTAAGGCTTACGAAAAACCATGTAGATTTTAGCAAAAAAATCAATTCATTTAATCGACTTTCTGAATAACTAACTTTGTGTAATCCGTGAACAGTACTAAACATTAGTCGATAAGAAGCCAAAGTACCATCAACACAACCAACTGCAGAAGAAGAAGCTTTATAATTTGTTCCATTACGAATCAAATGAAAGAAAAAAGGCGTAGCAATTAACACTAGCCTACAATGGAATTAACATTGGGTCGAGCTCGAACACTCCATACCCATGTATCCATTTGTGCAATAGTTCCTAAGTTAACTCCTGGAACAGTCACTAATTTATGTGTAGAAAGTGTCACAAGATCCAAATAAGAAACACAAGACTAACTAATACTATTTTCGAAGTTGAGATAGAATGTAATATTATCTTTAATTAATATTTACGCAAAATATGCTACTTTCTTACTTAAACAGCAATGTACCTTTACGACTATAAAGAGTAACTTGACGATTTGAACCACAAACAACCAAAAACTGGCCGTAGTTAAAATATTCAACTGCAGTTGGATCGTACCCGAGTTTTCCTTCCCGCATAAGCTGGAAGTTTGTATAATTGATTGTCCCATTCATATTGACATGTGAAAATTTGAAAAAACAAAAAAGAATAGGAGCTTGATTTAAGATGAGAGTTGTATTTTATTTCTGGTACTTGAACTTGATTTCCTTGCAAATTGTAAGAAGCGAACGTTTGTCCCCAATCTACCAGTACAAAAAGTTCATCAGAAGAACTGAAAATACCAGTATGTGTACACTATGAAACAGCTAAACGTAACTCCTTGTTTTCAAATTCTTCGTAATTATTTAAGAATGCCCAAACACTGTTTAACATGAGTTAGGAGAATTAAGAAAATGCGCTTCATCTTACAAATTTAAAAAACACTTCATCACAGTCAAAATTGAAGAAGCACTAATAATTTATTTCACTTAGCTTGTAATTATTCGTAAGGACTAAGCAGTAGACTTTTACATTTTTGCATTTGCAATATTCAGGTCTGATTTTTTCTGACTGACGCTGATTTTCCACTGCCATGAATTTCAAGGAAAATTATTTTCACAAAATATGCAAATCGCTCACGTATTACTTCGAATCGGAGCAAATGTCAGAGCCCAAATGGGTTCACCGGCTGGCCGTACAATCTTTTTCACTTCTTCTCCATTCTAACCCAAAGTACAGTACATAATAAAAAAATGCAACAATAGAACTAAACATAATAATTCAGACAAAAATTTTTTAAATGAAATGATTTACCTCGGCAGAACGCAGAGATACCGTACCATCAAACATCCCAATCGCATAAAATTGACCATCACAGCTCCATGCACAACAAGAACAACGACTTGTTGTGCGCTGTTTCCTAACACTTTTCTCTAATTGTGTCCACAGGCCTTTAAAAAAATAATAGCTAGTATTCATAAATTATTTAATGCTGTTTAGAAATTTCTAAAGTAATGAACAAGAAGGCTTGTAGGTGTATATATCAGTTTATTCTTAGGAAAGAAAATAATTGAACTTCATCATGAGAATTATGTTTTTGTCAGCTAACACTAATTTCTTTCAGTTACTTTAACATGTCCAGACCAATTGCGCTGTTAATTGAAGTAATCAAATATCATATGAAAAAGTAATTTCTCAAAACAATTACCGAAATCGGAAATCGCGCAGCTAAGAAGATGACATGATAGAGGACTGAATGCGAGACATTGTATTGCTTCGCTATGTCTACAAACAAGTAATTGGTTGAATTCAAAAGAATTTTGAAATTTTTTTGTTATTTCCTTTTTATTAAATACTTATTTGCACCAATATATCTATATATATGTATATTGTTGCTCTTGTAGATACCGCACCCATTTGTACCAGAAGAGCAGCAATTCTGAAGCAAGAGAAAGCTCATAACACGTACCTGGCAATTATTGTACCCTATCTAAGGACTACGTACAAACTCGTAGGAAATTGTACCGTTGAAAACGTATCAACAGCGCAGGAGGCGTTCTTGTATAGCGAAATAAAAAAGAAAACCCACCATGCAAAGCTATACAAGATGCGGACGAACAAAATCTCGTCCATAGTTGATTTAACAAAATGGCTTCGATACGGAAACATTACCCCGCAAGATGAGGCACGATACTGTTATCTCCAAGATAGAAATATGTTTTAGGTGAGAAAAGTATCTGCCAACATTGTGGGGAACGTGTGAAGACAGTGGACCATCTAGCAAGGCAGTGCGAAAAAATGTTACATCATGACTATACTAGAAAACATAATGAGGTCCTACAATGCATCCACTTGGGACTCTGCAAGAAGTATGGTCTGACAGCATTCCAACGCATGCGGAGCCACTCCGTTGAGGAAATCCTTGCCAATGAGAACATGGAAATGAGAATCGTTATTCAAGTGAGAACAGCTACAAAGATAAGTGAGGATTGATCGGATATCATGATACACAATAAGAAACGACGTCAAGTAATCCAGATTCGAGACTGGGATCGCTAGTCGGAACAGATTGACAGCAGTTGAGATCGAGGAAAAGCGAAAATATGACCTAATTGCTAGTAAGCTTGGGTCATAGTTAAAAGGCAGGACCAAAATAATTCCGTATGTAATGACTTGGGATGGGATCGGATCATAACGAACTTCCACAAACGCAAC